CCCAAAACCCCAAAACCCCAAAACCCCAAAACCCCGTGAGATAGTTTTAAGATTGAGCTAGGACACTTGATGATATTATAAAATTTATTTAATAATTATGGAACAAAGAAAACGAACTTGGAATGCAAAGAACTTGTCAAATATTGAGACTACTCCACTCCCTAACTTCTCCAAGATGGGATGCATGTTTGAGAAGAAGCCTAGTCATTGTATCAAGAATGCAATTGCTAATTCAGGTAAATATTCTAGTATAAGATAAGGCTACATTTGAAATATTTAGAATAATATCAGCTCTATTAGTATTGCCGAATGTCTTTTACCCTTTGTAGAAATTATATATTAATGCCATTATGAGTTCTAAAACAGTTTAGACAACTTGGACAACATCGAAAACTTTATTATGGAAATGCAAGTGAAGTCCTTTCAGAACAAATTCTTCAAGAGGATAAAACTCCTTTGCATTGCATTCGCATTGGTGATGATCCTGATGGGGATTTCTATTCACTTTTTCATGGAAAATTCAGCTGATTCTGAAATAGGCAGAAATAGGTGAATCATCTCGGGATTCATGCTTATTTTATGAGTGGGTATACTGCAGTACTATCCAGAGAAGCATGGCATCATTTCTCCAGCCTTTTTGGTATGGATCTTTATCTGTCTTAGTGATATTTATAAGACTTCAGATAGGTATGTCGTTCATGAGTACTCACTGCCTTGAATTGGGTATGCTTACGTGACTCTTGTATTGATTCCTAGCACTTGGGAAGCCAATTTGATTGCTTGGATACTCGGGTTTGGATACAATATTTCAACTATCTATGAAAAGCGTGGTGAAGTGCCTACCACCTTCTGGATTGCAATGTTTCCTGCAATGTTTTATTACATCACCACATCATATCTTCAAAATGAAAAACTCAAGGAACTCTATGAACACTTGAGGAGCAATGAGGTTCTGCGGAACGAAATGACTAACATTTTAGAAACGTTTCCAAATGGTGTCCTCATTCATCCTTTTAACCCAAATCCTGAAGATACAAGGCCTCCTTTTACAAACCATGAGTTCAATGAGAAAGTTCTGCAGATTAATAAGCAGCTCAATGAAATAGAGAAAGTAAAAATCGTGTTCGATCAGGATCACAGAGGCTCTCAACAAAAAGTTAAGTGAGATTTGCTGACGTACCTGACAGAGATCCATCAAAGGCTTCAAAGCAGAGAGATCTTTAAACAACACACTGTCAAACTGCTCAACTCAGCGAAAGGTAGGGACTCCTCAAAAGCCTTGGATGAAGACATTGACCAAATCTATACAATAAAGTGCATTAAGGTCGAATGGGCCAGTATGCCGTGCTTTATGAATGTTTTCATTGATAACACTGACATTGTCAAGCTAGAGAAGGCTAACAATAATATTAAATGGCAAAAGATGATGTTTGCAAGCGCGAGTCATGAATTTAGAACTCCTCTCAACGCTATCATGAATTCTTATGGATTTCTTAAACAAATCCATGAGCAAGTCTTTGCTCTTGTGTCAGGCCTCGATTCTCTAGACAGAAATCTTGCAATGGAGCTTGACTTTTTCTCAGAGCAAATCTCAAAGTATCTAAAAATGGGATCTGCCAGTTCGAGCTTACTGCTGTCACTAATTGAAGACATTTTGGATTTATCCAAGATGGAAGCAGGCACTTTCAGTATTAACATGGGGGACTTCAAGCTTTGAGAACTTATCAACGAAGTTCATGAAATATTTTCACTGCAAACAAGCCAGAAAGGGATTCTCTTGATAGCCAAGGTTGACGACATCCTCAAAGATGTGATGATCAGAAGTGACAAAGGAAGGATCAAGCAGGTCTTGTTGAACTTAGTTTCAAACAGTCTCAAGTTCACTTTCAAAGGAAGTATTGCAATCTCAGTCAAAGCAAATAGGAAATCTAGAGGTAACTTTGTAGTATTCGAAGTGGCCGACACTGGGGTCGGAATAAAACAGAGCGAACAAAAGAAGCTCTTTAAACTCTTTGGAATGGCTGATAGTGACAAAAGCATGAACCCTAATGGCTGAGGTATTGGCCTAACCATTAGTAAAAAATACATAGAGAAGCTAGGAGGATCAATTAAGCTTAGTTCTGTCTACAAGAAAGGGACAACAACAAAGTTCACCATCCCTATTTCTTCAGACATATTTATAAAGCTAAATAGGCAAATGCCGAATGGAGAGTCTCAGAATTTGGGGGATAAAATTGGTTATCAAACTGTAAGTCCCAACTTAAATTTTAGCTCTGTAATTCACTTGATCCAAAAGAAGAGTCTAAATGAGACAAAGACCAAAGACTAGAAACGAGGGATTATAATATCCAAAGCCAACATAATCTAAGAATGTCACCTTTAGATAAGGATAACTTTGCAACAACCGAAGAGCTTTACAACACAAGAGAGGACAGAATTTTGTTGGGGAAGTATGGTTCGAGAAAGATCAAAGTTTTGACAGATCTCAATGAGATTTCCAAAGAGGCCGGCCTAAAAATGGCGAAATAACATTTTAGCAAGTATCCTATATTTGTTATTAATTAAGGGGTTTTGGGGTTTTGGGGTTTTGGGGTTTTGGGG